CATGAGGCCACCGCGCCTCCCTATGATATTAAAATGTAATCAAATAGTATACACGTGGAATTCCAGAATAATTTCTCTTGCGCTTTGTCAAAATTCAACTAAAAATTTTTAGAATTTTGAGAAAACGCGCGTGAAATTATTTCCTAATTTCACTCGTCACCATTTGATTACCTATGGTTATTTCCATTACTGCTACTGTTGCTCAAAGTTTTAAGGCACGACTAAGGAGATTTACTTTGTTATTGTGGGTTAACAGGCCAGCGAGCTGATGATTCCAACAGATGAGACTGCTCGGCAAATGTTTTTCTTGGAAGCCTTCCTCACTCATCAAAAGCCATTACTGCTCATTGGTCCGACTGGGACAGGAAAGTCCGCCATCACCAACAACTACATTCTCGGGATGCCGAGAGAGAAGTATGATTGACTGACTTACAAGAACTGGTCCTTGGTAGACATTGCCTCAAAATTAATCTCATTTAAGAGTTTTATTGACTAGCCTGGATACACAGAATAAAGAACGTTTTAAGAGTGGCAATTTAAACCATGGAAGTAAAACCTGTGATTCAACACTGGCATCTTTTTGGAAATTAATTGGAATAAGAAGCAGCTCAATTTTGTTTTCTTTTCCGAAGTAATCAGAACATTTATTGCTATTTAAATGTGCTTTCAAAGGTAAAGTGGAGTTACAAATTGACCTTTGTTTGGAATTGAAGCAGAAATCGTCTTTTTTTCTTCCTTTCAGGTTTCTTCCAATCAACATTAACTTTTCAGCTCGAACCAGCGCTGGACAAACCCAGGACATCATCATGGCCAAGCTGGACAGGTAGCGGCAAAACACAACACGATTACTTACTGATATGTAATTTTTTTTAAAATAACATTACACCGTAGACCCAATCTCTCCTTTTTGTGCACCGTACTTTGACGTGGGAGAATTTTTTTTGCCCTAGTGTTATCTGGTCTGCTTTTGTTTTGATATTTTTAGAAGAAACAAATGCTGCAATTTCGGGGCCTTTATATAACA